GCAGTTGGTTCGTTTCCTCCTCCGTCGTTTGGCGCTCTGTCCCGCTGCGCCTGTCCAGGAGGAGGAGGAGGAGGAAGAGGAGGAGGGGGAAGAGGAGGAGGAGGCGGAGGAGGAGGAAAAGGAAGAGAGAGAGAGAGACGAGACAAAGAGAGAGGGATAACGGAGAAACGACATGGAGTCGGAATGAAAACGGTTCCTTTTTGAAGCCGTTGAAGGCCGAACACGCTCAATAAGAAGAGGCAGAATGAGGTAGACACGTTTGTGTGTGTGTGTGGGGACCATATCTATCTATATGTGTATAAACCTATATATATAAATATGTGTATATTTATGAAGCATACCTGAATATCTGTCTATCTGTCTATCTGTCTATGTGTATATTTACACATATATATATGTTTCTATACGTATAGATGTGTTAATACATGCAAATATTTACATATCTTTTGTACGTATGCACGCACGTATTCATGTATGCATGTACGTATGCATGTATATATGTAAGTATGTGCTACGTATGTATGTATATGTATACATAACATGTTTATGTACATGTATATATGTATATATATACACACAAGACTTGAAGCTCGCTGCGCTTCGCTTCCACGTCTTGGTACATTGTGTTGTGCGTAGAGGGGGGCCAGGCGGCAAGCGCGCAGCGGAAGGGAGAAGAGCATGTCATTCGATGAAGACGAGGACGCATGGGAAGAAATTGACAGATTGCCCGGGGGTCTGTCACGTCGCGCCGCGCCTACTGGCGCGGCGCGACCCTAGGCCTTGGGGGGAGGATTGGGATGGGCAGGCCAGTGCAGGGACAGGAAACGTGGGAACGCATGAGAGTTCGAGGGGTCTCTTGGGTCGAAGGTGGGGCCAGTAGACCTGGGCCGGCACGGAAACGGAAAGAGTGCTTCAACAATTTGACCGAAATTATTCACACCACCGTTCGTACCGGGAGCCTTGGCGTTGAGAGCTTGTTACGTCACCCCGCGCTCTTGGGAGCCTTGGTGTTCAGAGATTGTTGCGTTGCCGCCCGTTCCTGAGCCTTGGCTGGGCCTTGGTGTCAGGAACTTGTTACGTCACGCTCCCTGCTGGGAGCCTTGGTCTTATCAGCTTGTTTACGTCACCGTTCGCTCTTGGGAGCCTTGGTGTGAAGAGCTTTTTGCGTTACCGATCGCTCTCTATTTGGCGTCTCTGGGCCTTCTTGGGAGTCCTATTGGGGCCCTTGTCGGGCCCTTTTGGAGGCCTCTTGGGAACCTCTTGGGGGCCTCTTGGGGCTTCTTGGGGAGCTCTGGGGGCCTCCTGGGAGCTTCTTGGAGCGAGAGGCTAGACTTTTCGGTTCGTGGTCCCCCTCTTGGGGCCGTCTTGGGGCCCTCTAGGGCCATCTTGGGCGCCTCTTGGGCCGTCTTGGCGCCCTCTTGGGCCGTTTTTGGGGCCTCTTGGGAGCCTCTTGGGCCGTCTTGGGGCGGTCTTGGGGGCCTCTTGGAGCGTCTTCAGCGCAGTGAAAGCCGAAACGCCTTGCATGCTAAAAAAAACCCTTTCCCATAGGAAATCAATGATCGCCTCCCAGTGGCCTCTTGGGACGCCTCTTGGGGGCCTCTTGGGGCTTCTTGGGGGGCTCTGGGGACCTCCTGGGAGCGTCTTGGGGCGAAAGGCTAGACTTTTCGGTTCGTGGTCCCCCCTCTTGGGGCCGTCTTGGCGCCCTCTTGGGCCGTCTTGAGCGCCTCTTGGGCCGTCTTGGGGCCCTCTTGAGCCGTTTTGGAGGCCTCTTGGGAGCCTCTTGGGCCATCTTGGGGCGGTCTTGGGGGCCTCTTGGGCCGTCGCCAACGCCGTGAAAGCCGACAAAGCGCATATGCTAAATCTATACGTTTTCCTTTGGAAAATCTGTGATTTCGGCCTCTTGGGGCTCTCTTGGGACGCCCCTTGGGCGCCTCTTGGGGGCCTCTTGGGGGCTCTTGGGCCGTCTTGGGCGGTCTTGGGCTCTCTTGGAGCGCTCTTGGGCCGTCTTGGGGGGGAACCCGAAAAACATGCAAAAACCCGAGGGAAAACCCGAACACGGCCATTAACATTCAAATGCGCACGCTACCCCCCTCCCCTGGAACCCCTCCCTTTAGGGTTTCGCCCACACCAGAACGTCATCACTCGTACCTCGCTCTTTCCGTTACCTGGCCCGGCACAGAAGCGGAAAGAGCGCTTCAGAAACAGAAACCGAAATTACTTACACCACCGTTCGTACTGGGAGCCTTGGCGTTGAGAGCTTGTTACGTCACCCCTCGCTCTTGGGAGCCTTGGTGTTCGGAGATTGTTGCGTTGCCGCCCGTTCCTGAGCCTCGGCTGGGCCTTGGTGTCAGGAACTTGTTACGTCATCGCTCCCTGCTGGGAGCCTTGGTCTTATCAGCTTGTTTACCTCACCGTTCGCTCTTGGAAGCCTTGGTGTGAAGAGCTTTTTGCGTTACCGATCGCTCTCTATTTGGCGTCTCTGGGCCTTCTTGGGAGTCCTATTGGGGCCCTTGTCGGGCCCTTTTGGAGGCCTCTTGGGAACCTCTTGGGGGCCTCTTGGGGCTTCTTGGGGAGCTCTGGGGGCCTCCTGGGAGCTTCTCGGGGCGAAGGGCTAGACTTTTCGGTTCGTGGTCCCCCTCTTGGGGCCGTCTTGGGGCCCTCTTGGGCCGTCTTGGGCGCCTCTTGGGCCGTCTTGGCGCCCTCCTGGGCCGTTTTGGGGGCCTCTTGGGAGCCTCTTGGGCCGTCTTGGGGCGGTCTTGGGGGCCTCTTGGAGCGTCTTCAACGCAGTGAAAGCCGAAAAGCCGTGTATGCTAAAAATGTACTTTTTCCCGTAGGAAATCAATGATTTTCGCCTCCCGGTGGCCTCTTGGGACGCCTCTTGGGGGCCTCTTGGGGCTTCTTGGGGGGCTCTGGGGACCTCCTGGGAGCGTCTTGGGGCGAAAGGCTAGGCTTTTCGGTTCGTGGTCCCCCTCTTGGGGCCGTCTTGGCGCCCTCTTGGGCCGTCTTGAGCGCCTCTTGGGCCGTCTTGGGGCCCTCTTGGGCCGTTTTGGAGGCCTCTTGGGAGCCTCTTGGGCCGTCTTGGGGCGGTTTTTGGGGCCTCTTGGGCCGTCGTCAACGCCGTGAAAGCCGACAAAGCGCATATGCTAAAACTATACGTTTTCCTTTGGAAATTCGATGATTTCGGCCTCTTGGGGCCCGCTTGGGACGCCCCTTGGCGCCTCTTGGGGGCCTCTTGGGGGCCTCTTGGGCCATCTTGGGCGGTCTTGGGCTCTCTTGGAGCCCTCTTGGGCCGTCTTGAGGCTGTCTTGGGCCGTCTGAGGCGCTTCTAGGGCCGTCCTGGGCAGTTTTCAGAGGATGTCTCAAGCTAAACGTTCTTTTTGAGCCCCGAAGGCCGCCCTACTCGATAAATAAAGAGGCGGGAGGGGCCTCCGGGATCCATTGGGGGGGGGGGGTCAGAATTTCCTGGTGTCAGGTTATATAGATAGGAATATGTATAGATGCACTTCGTGTCGTACGTCTGCTCGGAAGAACTGGGCCGCGTGGCCGCTCTGGCGGCTATGCACTCGCCGTCGCCGCTCCGTCGCCACCTCGTCGCTGCCAATGGTCGCCGTCGCCGCCCCGTCGCCGCAGTTGGATTGCCAAACTCGAAGCCTTGCGGCAATGTTTCGGACTTGAACAGAAATTGCTATGGTTGGTGATGATGCTGGTAGTGATGATGCTGCTGCTTCTGATGATGGTGGTGATGATAATCCTGCTGCTGATGACGACGTACATGGTGGAGATGATGATGATGACGATGATGATAGTGATGACAATGATGTTGGTGGTGGTGATGGCTTTGATGATGATGATGATGATGATGATGATGATGATGATGGCGATGATTCTGACGATGACGGCGATGATGATGACGGAGCTGATGATGATGCTGATGATGATGGTGATAACGATGATGATGGTGATGTTGACGATGGTGATGGTTGATGACGATGACGATGATGAAGACGACGATGATGATGAAGAAGAAGAAGAAGATCATGATGATGATGATGATGATGATGATGATGATGATGATGATGATGATGATGATGACGGTGGTGTTAGTAATGGTGATGGTGCTGCTGCTGATGATGACGATGATGATGCTGATGATGATGATGCTGATGATGATAATGGTACAGATGACGATCTGATGATGACGATGATGATGATGATGAAGCTGATGATGCTGCTGCTGATGATGCTGCTGATGATGATGCTGATCCTGGTGGTGGTGCTGATGATGATGCTGATGTTTATGATGCCGCTGCTGCTGCTGATGCTGATGATGTGTTTGTGAGGAAGAAGAAGAGGAAGGAGGATGATGATGATGGATGAGGTGGAAGACAAGAGAGAGGAATGAGGGAGGGAGGGGGAGCAGGAGGTGGGGAGGAGGAAGCGGAGGAAGAGGAGGAGGATGAGGAGGCTCTGAGCTGCTCCTCTGGGCCCGCAGTCCGCCCAAACTCGGGCAACTCGAGCTGGGTTCGGCTTCGTTCTCCAGGAATCTCGCGCCGATTCCCAATGTCTGCCGGAGGCGCGGCAGCCATTTACGGGACCCTTGGAGGACCACCCTGGCCCTCCTGAAGCAGGGAAAAGGGGAAAGCGGCGAGGGTGGGCGGGTGGGTGGGCGGGGGGAGGAAGAGGAGGAGGAGGAGGATGACGAGGAGGATGACGAGGATGATGATGATGATGATGATGAGGAGGAGGAGGAGGAGGAGGAGGAGGAGGAGGAGGAGGAGAACTCTTTTTCGATCTAGGGGGCTGTTCCCCGATAGCGGAAGGGCGGGAGGGGGGATCAGGGGAGGGAAAGGGGGAGAAGAGGAGAGAACGGCAAGGGATATGGACAAAGGGGAAGTGGAGGAAAAGGAGGCTGGACAACGGGGCGGAGGAAAAGGAAGACAGGGGTAAAGAAAGGAATCTGCACTGGGCCTGCCACGCCCCAATCTTTCGGCCGGATGGTCCTCTGGGTAGATCGTCAGATTGATGCCCCGGAGCTCGATGACCACGGGCGGGTTCTCGATGTAGCGGCAGTCTTCGATTCCGTCGCTGTCTCTCCTCAACATGGACTCGACGTCGACCTATAGAAGACAAGTGAGCCTGCCGCGGCAACAATCATGATATTACTTGTGCTTGCATAGGCGCGTTGCGTGGCCTTGCTTGGCATATTGCTTGGCGTCGCGTGGCATTGCATTGCTTTGCGCTGTGTGGCGAGGCAGCACGGAATTAGGACCTAAGTATCTGCCGACCCCTTGGGATTCGTCGGCGTGTGAAATGCTTCCCCCTCCCCGAACCCCTCCCCTGGGAGCCCAGTCCGGTCGATTTGGAGGGGGGGTCTGTCGGGGCCGGCTGGGGGCTATCCGGGCCGGCCCGGGGGTTACTTTGCTTCAGAAATTCTGTCGGGGGGCATCGAGGGCCTCAAAACGGGCCACGTTGGCCCCCAAAGACCTCCAAGACGATCCAAGAGGGCCCCGAGTCGCCGAAACATCGTCGCAAGACGCCCAAGATGGCCTCCAGACGGCCCAAGATGCCTCCAAGACTCCCCAAGAGGCTTCGAAGAGGCCTCTTAGGAGGGCCCCAAGAGGCCCAAATCGTTGATTTCCCCTCAGGGAACCCGGGCTATCCGGGCCGGCAGGTGGGGGGGTGCTTTGCCCCAGAAATTCTGCCAGGGGGGCATCGAAGGCCTCAGAACGGGCCACGAGGGCCTCAAGGGACCTCCAAGACGGTCCAAGAGGGCCCCGAGTCGCCGAAACATCGTCCAAGACGCCCAAGATGGCCTCTCCACAGAGCTCAAGATGCCTCCAAGACGCCCCAAGAGGCCTCGAAGAGGCCTCCCAGAGGGCCCCAAGAGGCCCAAATCGCTGACCTTAATTTGTTGGTACTTCACGAGTGTGCTCCGCCAAGAACTGGCTGCAGTCACTCGTCCCTCCTCCTCGGTTCTCAGATCTTCGGGAAAAACAATGATATCCACGACGCACCCCTCAACTGAAATGATCTGCCAGCGAAGCCCCCGATTCTTTCGGTGGATAAGGCGCAAGCTTTCAGGATCACTTTTTTTCACGAAGACAGGCCACCGTGCAGCCTGAAGTTCAGCGGCCCAGCAAAGTTTATCGAACTGTGCAGGCAAGAGACGCGGACCTCTCACACCAATCGGCACTGTAAAGACAACGTACTGGCGATCGAGGTCCTCGAGCTGCCGGCCTCTACCAAGGGAAAAACATTGTCGGACTTCTGGTCGGCAGTGAGGGTGGTGGTGGGGCTGTAGGTTGGAGCACTTTGAGCACGCAGCGGTAGCGGACGGGCGGAGCAGGGCGATCTGACAAAGATAAGTTGAACAGAAATTTGTACTTCACTAGTGTGCTCCGCCCAGAACTGGCTGCAGTCACTCGTCCATCCTCCGAGGGTCTCAGGTCTTCGGGGAAAACAGCGATATCCAGTACCCCTCAACTGAAATTATCTGCCAGCGAAGCCCCCGACGCCATCGGTGGATGGCCTCCCAGCGCCCTCGTCGGTGGAAGAAATTCCAACGTTCTGCGCTTCTGCAGGAGGTCGTTTCTGGGCCCCGAATGTCTCAGCACGTGTGGGGCAAGGCTCCGTGCCGTCAAACCCAAAGCCCTGACTGACCGCTGGATCTCCTCTTCGTAGTTAGCCAGAGTCAAGTTTGGAAAAAGCAGCGCGCACTGGGCAGTGGCACGATACAGCGTTGACAAGACTTCCAACACCCATTCGAACGAGTGCCGCAGACCACGTGCTCATCGACATCGCCAGTCTTGGCGCGCTTGCCCTGGTCCGAAGAGCCAAAAAAGATGGCCCACTTTCGGTGGGCAGCTCCCGCTCTTGCTGATGGAGCGCTGACGTCCTCTCGGCACAAGTCAAGGATCTCCGACGTCCTCGCGTAGAGGTCGAACTGCAGTGTGCCTGCAGCGGCCGCCTCGAGCCCGCCGTTCTCCGCCAGCCAGTGGAGGGCCATAAAGATAACCTCCTCAGGGGCACGGCTTGACAACGAACTCGCGCATCAGCTTGGGCAGCCCTTCGAAGCCTCAACCACAGGGTCGAGCTCCAGGGGCGCTTGCTTGCGGTTGTCGGCGTTGAGCTTCACCCAGCCGTAGACCACGAACCGGCCTGCAGCAGGACTGTAGCCAGCATGTGCCAGGGACTCACAGCATCTCTCCATTGTGCTTGCAAGGGCCCTCGGGGGCGACAAAAGAAGGTTGCGCCGCCGCGCCCATGCAGTGAAATCGCCCACGGCCTTACGATAATGCTCCAGCGTCTTGGGCCCAGCGGTGCCACGCCGGAGGGAGCCAGGGCTCGTGTCACCTCCAGTGCTGTGTTTCAGCTCGCCCACCGCGCCAATGCGATCACGCCGATCACGCTTGCATTTCGGTGCCGTGCCCCGCTCTGGCAAAGCGGATGCCCGGCCTCTCGATCGCCCTGGCCGCCCTCGTCGTGAAGTGGATCTCCCCACTGTCCTTGTCACCTGAGCGGGCGCGCCGCGAAGCTCTGGCAGCGCGAGGCTGTCGATGGCGCTGGCTGGTAGCGACGGCTTCCCGGAGATCAGCCTCCCAGCCCGCGATCCAGCTCGCCGAGGCCCCGCGGGCAGCAGGCGGCGCGGCGCGCCAGATGGCGCGGGCCGAGGCAAGACAGAGGACGGGCGTATAAGCCCCTGCTGCAGCCGTGCGCCGAACCAACTTGGCTCGCCCATCTGAGCCTATAATGCGACACGCCCCTGTCAGATGATGATGCTGATGGGTAGCAGTAACTCCTGGGCAGCCGGCCCCCAAGGCTCTGAGGGAAGTGCAGTTGGATAACAGCGTGGTGGGCTTCTCATGGGGCGCTGAGTACTGGCGCTGATGGATCGTGACTTTCCCGACCCCAGGTGGCCCACAGAGCTCGTAAATAGGATGGAAACTCTTTAGCTTCGATGACGTAGGATGCTCAATAGACCAGAACACACTGCAACGCTGGCACTCCCTCGCGACCTCCGACGAGAAGATGGTCAGCTCGACCCCCACCAACTCCTGTTGCCTAGCCCTCTCCGTCTTCGTGATGCCCCTGCGCGCGAGAGACCATTTAGAGCACGGAGTCCCAATGTGCACCCAGAAGACCCTTCCCGTGCGAATGAAGTTCAGCACGAGTCTCTGTGTACTTCTCCGCGTAAGATCATATTCATCATCCCGAGCGACTTCGAAAACTGGGCCCACGGGTAGGCCTCGTCGATGCACCGCCCTAGACATACCAGCAGGCACCGCGAAGCTCCAGGATGACCCTGTCCTTTCCGCTGGGAGGCTGCCGAGGTCGAGACTCTTGGGGCCCACAGAGGTTCTACTTCTCCAAGGCACCTGGGGTGTTACTGCTGGGCGGTGTGGGAGGCGCCGACGGCATGTGTAGATTGTCAGGCGGAAGGAGCCTAGCATTGGGATGAAAGACGGTGGAATCTAGCTTTGTCGGATGATCAGACTGCGTTCGGTTACTTTTCTGAACATTACCAAGCAGATCAAGCTTGTACGCCTTAGACCAGTTCATATCGAATCTGCGAGAACCCCCGTCAGCAACATTTCGCTCACTTCGGATGTACCGAAATCTCAAGTCGATGCCACAGCCAATGCGACAACGGATAGAACGACGAACAAGAGTGTTCAAGGCATGGCTTTTGAATCTCCCTCTCTCGAAACCGCTCAGAGTCACTGGGTTATCACCGATGTACAGGCAGCTGTGACCATGAGCACGAGCGTCCCGTCCAAAATGGCGTAGGGACTGGGGCGTCACTCGCCCCTCCTTGGCATTGATGTGCTCCTCGGGCTACTGCCACTCCCTGTCGTGCATGGTGGCCCACCTCTCTCGATTGGACCAACTGTCCGCGAGGGGAGGGATCGCCTCGCCCAGGCTGATCTCCCGCTCTGGAGGGGCCTGAGCCTCCACCGTGCAGCGAGGTGGTCGGGCGGCCTGCCGAGCCTCTCTGGCCTGGCCCTCCAGCCAGATTCCGCGCGAGGTCTGAGCACCCGATGCCAAACCAGCCGAGCGTCCTCGGACCTTCGAATCACAGATGATCTCGTCGTCAAACTCACCCTGAGAGGACAAGCCTCCCAGCTGCTTCACCACCTCCGGAGCGTCAAGCCTGACGGGCTCGATGCGCTGGGCCGCCCGATAGCGCCAGCGCTCCCGGTGCGAGGTAGCGTCGTGAAACTCTCGGACCGTGCGCTCGGTGGACAGCAAGGCGCACCCAAACGTGCTGGAGTCGCCCGCGTGCACTGCCCGCCAGATCGGGGAGCCCACCTCCGCTCTATCACGAATGCCAGCCGTCGAGTCAACTCCATCTCTGGCTTCGCGGCGGATTGGGCCCGCAACCGACGGCCAAGCGCTTCAGCGACGAAGGTGTAGGCATCCTGCAGGATGGCGAGGAGCTCGGGGGCTAACGAGAACATGCAGACCGCATTTCCAAGCCATACCTCCATCTCTTCACCTCGAACGCGCGCACGACGGAGTAGGGCTCGAGTGGCGAAAGCAAACCTCCAGATGCGCCTCTGAGTGTGCCGAAGTACCTCATGGCCTGCGTGAAACTCGAGACCCAGCGTCTCCAGATAGGTAGCACCACGGTGCCGCCCATGAGTGCCAATCGGCTGTCCAGTCAACGCGCCGCAAAAAACGCTCGACGCTCTCATGGGAGCCAGCCTCGCAGATCGCGAAGGAGTTGAAGTTGTCGTCGTAGACTCCCTCCGCGGTTGAGCCCAGGGCGAACTCGGGGGCAGGCGATCGATCCCGCGGGGCCCCTCGCATCCCAAGCGGATGCTGTGTGGCGACAAGGTTCTCAAACAACTTCTGGCGCAAGTAGAGTGACCGCGACCATCCCATGCATGGCCCCTCAAAGCAGACAAACAGCCACTGTCCAGGCCGAAGCTGGTCGTAGCCTTGCAGATCGTCGTCCCAGAGGCGATGAATGCCGAACTCGGCCGCATCCTCTGTGGTGTAGGCAGCTTCCATGCAGAACCAGGACGCCAGCTGCACATATGAAAAGTTGTAGGAGCAGTCGTCGACGTCAGCGGTCGCCAGCGAATGTAGGCACCGACGCGGTGCCGCCAAATCC